GATTGGTACCGGGACTAGTGCTGTTTAACATTTTCATCAATGACTTTGACAGCGAGATCGAGTGCACACTCAGCAAGTCTGCAGATGACATCAGAAGTTCAGGTTGCCATCCAGAGGGACCTGGACAAGCTTGAGAAATGAGCCTGTGTAAACCTCATGAGGTTCAACAAGGCCAAGTGCAAGGTCCTGCACTCGGGTTGGGGCAACCCACAGTATCAGTACAGGCTGGGGGATGAAGGGAATGAGAGTAGCCATGCTGAGAGGGACTTGTTGTACTGATGGATGAAAAGCTGGACATGAGCCACTAATGTGCACTCGCAGCCCAGAGGTCAACCATATCCTGGGCTGCATCAAAAGTAGCGTGGCCAGCAGGTCGGGGGAGGGGATTCTGCCCCCCTACTCCGCTTCAGACCCCACCTGGAGTCCTGCGTCCAACTCTGGAGTCCCCAGCACAAGAAGAACATGGAGCTGTTGCACAGGGTCCAGAGGAGGCCACAAAGATGATCAGGGGGCTGGAGCACCTCTGTTATGAGGACAGGCTGAGAGATTTGGTGCTGTTCAGCCTGGAGAAGAGAAGGCTGCAGGAAGACCTTACAGAAGCCTTCCAGTACCTGCAGGGGGCCTATAGGAAAGATGGGGAAAATATTTTCAGCAGGGCTTGTTGCAACAGGACAAGGAGCAACGGCTTTAACTAAGGGAGGGTAGATTCAGGCTAGATATAAGGAAGGAATTTTTTACGGTAAGGGTGGTGAACGACTGGAACAGGTTGCCCAGAGAGGTAGTGGAGGCCAAATCCCTGGAAACATTCAAGGGCATGTTGGACAGGGCTCTGAGCAACCTGGTCTAGTTGAAGATGTCCCTGCTCACTTCAGGGAGGTTGGACTACACGACCTCTAAAGGTCAGGGTCCAACTCAAAGCATTCCATGACTCTATGATTCTATAACTCAATGCTGTTTAGAAAGAGGAGTATTATGCCGGAATTTAATAACAGGACTGATACACGACCTTGGGAATCATTTTTATGGCACTGGGCACACATAAGGCCAAAGTCTAGTTATAAGAGAAGTCAAGCAAATAAGAGCAAACAGGAGGTGCAGAAAACATAACCAATGAGGTAATCTTAAAACTTGAGGAACTAGAATTGTTTACTATATATTACAGTTGAATTAACCAAGAAAGGCTTATTTTTATTGACATACCAAGTCCCGCCCACTCCCTACTCCCTGATCCCATCAGGAAATGCATCATTATAAAGGACCTCCCTCTGCCAGTACCAAATTCCTTTCATTTTCAGAATACCACCTACCTCCCTAAGATTACCAAAGGTTATCCAAACCAGGAGTAGTGTACATTCAAGAATTAGCATCGTGTTAAAATTAGTGTCTCCTCCTATCGCTTTCAGGCTTGGTAGGTGTGCAGCCAGAACACATCACTGTAAACTGCAGTCTTTAAAATGCATTCTGGTGAGTCTTGTCAGAAAGACCAGCATTCACATTACCTGCTCTGTATGTGTGTCCCAGATAACACGTACATCAGACTGTAAAGATGGGCTACACGTTTCCTTTTCATTCTTTCAGAGTAATATGAATGAAAACCTTAGCTTATAGCATAAGACTGCTTCCTTCTATCTCTCATACTTCTTTGTTTTTATAGTGTGAGAGAGATTATGTTTTGCTTCAATTATTTTGTGCAGGTTTCAGAATACTGATTAAAGTTGCAAATCCTTGGCAACTAATTAGGAAATGTGTATTACTCTGTTGTCGTTGAATTTGTTGTTACCAATTTTGACTTGGTTTTGGTAGATATTTTGCAATTATCCTTCCAGAAAGATGTTATTCTTTGAGAATAAATTGAGTTGCTGAGAAAAAAATTAGCAATAACCTTAAATAGTTAGTTCACAAGTCTGTTTCACTGTAACTTTTAGCTAGTGTCAAAGTATCAGAACCTCCTTGCAGTCCAGGTCAGAAAATAATTTTTCTAAGGAGAAGCATGCCTTGGGCAAAGCTGGGGACTGTCATATTTGTAGCATATACGGAGAATTTGGACCATGATGCTTCCAGAATCCTCTAAATTAAACCAGGAACTACTGTATTCCCTGGTGTACCCCAGAAAAGTGAGGCTGCGGAGGCAGCTTAATTTGAAGAACAGTTACTACTTTTTGAGAAGCAAAGCAAGCATCTCTTTCCACCACGACTCTGAACACGCAAAGTTTGTGGTAAATTCTTTACCTTCACCTGGTTTGCTCAGATTCATGCTTTGGACCACATGACACATGCATGGTCGCTGTCCATGGGGAGTTACCCTGAGTGATTTTTCAAGTGCTGACTCTATGCTAAGTGTCATGTGCCCTTGAGGAATGTAAACAGAGTATAACAGTGCTTTTAATTCAAGCTTGCTGCCAGCTCAGGGTGCAAAGACAGCTGCTGGAGTTAGCCCAGCTCCTCACCTACTGACAGAATGCCCTCAGCCTGTGCAGCGTGAGTACTGCTTTGCAGCATAGCTGCTGTCACATTCATTAACCTATATTTAGAGGGGTCGTCTTGAGCATAAATGCTTCCTTACAGCTCCGCAGAGGAAGGTGCCGGGGGACATAGTTCCCTCTTCTCAATGCAGAAAGAAGGTGAAAAGACATTAAAGTCACAGTTTTCCCAACCTTTTAGCTTGTCTGTAAAATGTAAGGGATTGAAAAGAACAAAGAAATGGGAACTGCAAGAGTGAGTAACTGAAAATCTGCTGAGTGCTGTGGAAAAGCACCTTACCTCAAGGAAATAGCCTCAAAACCTAGGATTTTCTTGCCTTCCTGAAGATTTTGCTGATCCTTTAATCAGGAAAAGACTCTGACAATGTGGTTTGCGAAATTTATTATTGAAAAAGAAAAGTATTTCAGCTGTTGAACTGTGCATGCTATGAACAGTTCAAGTAAAAATAATTGCAGTCTCATTTTCACAACTGTAAAATTTAATAATAAGATTCAGCTAGTAGCTAAACAGTAGATGCAGAACTAAAATGTAGCCTTCTAATCTGCCCTGCAGCAGCATTACTAAGTGAATGTGTGGAGCCTTTGGTGCTGCAGCTCATTAGAACTACAGATCAAGCTGTCACCCTTAGAAGGTTTGAGCTGTGGCTCTCAGGGACGAAACAGAAGCTGTCAGTAGAATTGCGTGCGCAGGGGCTTATAATCGTATAATGAACAGGCAACGCAAGTCGTTCCTCTTTTTTCAGATTGTGCTGGCCTGTGCCCTTCAGTTATTGAGAGATTGGGCATGTATCAGTTTAAAAAACCTGTAACTGTTTTGATTTGATTTTATTTGATTCCTGGGTGTGTGAGAAAGAAGCTTTGTTTTCTTTCTGACTGTGACATGGGACGCGTGGTTTCTGTGTCTCTTAGTGAACACGTTCCAGCAGTGTATTGATATTTGTTCAGTTATATGCACCTGTAGAAGAAATGTCTTATGAATGGGGAACCAAAAGAAACAGTATAAAAGAAGCATGAGCCAAAGCTGTCACCTGTTCTCACAGTCAAGTGCACTGTCTTCCTGTTGGCCAGCTGCCTTCTTGGTCTTCTCAGACCTATTTGCTCCCTTTTGCAGGATGAACAGCTTACCAAGTACCCTTTGTGCGACAGTTTACAACAGCTAAAGAAGTCTGTGGGTTTCCCCTTGCCATCCAAGAGTTGACCAAAATTGCTGCAAGCATTGGCAAGTGAAAATAGTAGAGAGAGAGATATCTCTGGCCAAAGAATTACTAACACATATTATATTTAAAGAATTATGTCTCAATTAGACAGCTCTTTAGAATAGTAAAAAGGGAGAGAAGCTTAGGAAGAAATTAAAAATTATATATATATATATGTCTGTCTGCAGGCATTTTTGTCAAAACATGAGTGTACATTTTTGTGCATTAAAAAGCACAAAATATTGTTAGATTTGCAAAACAAACAATACCAGAGCTGTGAAGAAAACTCCTTGCAGATGAAGTATCAGATTTTTGTAACAAGTCACTTCAGCATTTCTTCAGCTACGATTTCATTTTACAAATTTTCAGAAGTTTTGTCTTTCCAAAAAGATAAGACATACATAAACAATGCAGGGAACATTACTTCTAACAAATGTCTTTGAATGATCAGCCAGGATCCCTTGACACAACACCAATTCTTTTGCCACATCAGTGCAGTCTTACTCATGTCACTAGAGACCCACCAGAGCAGCTGACTGCCAAATGTGGCCCAGTGCTATTATTTGTTCTGTCTGGAGGCTATGAGTGGGACAGCTCTTCAAAAATGTACTCTATTTGTCTGCAGAAGAGTTTCTCATGATGACAACGAAGGAAGCATAGCAAACTCCCCAATGAATGAAAACTTTCTAAAGCTGTTGTGAATACAAGCAACTGCCTTGGTACTATGCTAAGAATGGGCCAATAGCTTTTTCCAAGGAAACGGGAGATGTGGTGTAGTGTCATGTGTACACCTCTCCAAGAGTGGAACTCACCTGCGTTGGTGTATATGCAGAGGACATCCTGTGCTGATGTCTCTCCAGGAGGTAAAACAGGGGGCATGGTGCTGGGTGAGGTGTGTGAAGGAAGAATTAAAGATGTCGTTCAGATAAGGTGAGGTTTCATAGCTATGCTGTTGAAAGACAGCAGCAGACAGGGTGTGCAGTGTGTGTGTGTAGTCACACAGACCTTTGGAGGACCGACCATTAGCTGGATTTAACAGTGGAACAGTGGCCATTGATGCTGTTGAAACAGATTACCATCGAAAATCCATTAAGCAGTGTCTGCATCTAAAAGGTCAGTGTTTACAAGAAATGGCCACGCTAGTTTAAGCGCTAAGGTTATTTTCTACTGTATGCATACAAAACAGCAGTGCTTGAGTGGAATACTTCAAAGAATTTTGATTTTTTCTTTTATATCATCTTGTCAGCTGCTATCTTATAATTGATTGAGTTCAGAGAGTCTTTTCTGTTTAGTACTTCTTTTTTCCTCTATCTCTAAAATGCAGGTGGTCCGACCATACCAGACGATGTCCAATCCCATGAGTAAGTTGACAGTGCTCAACAGTATGCATTCTCATTTTATTTTGGCTGACAATGGCACTACTGGTAAATATGGAGCAGAGGTGAAACTTCGTAGACAGCTGGAAAAGCACATTTCACTTCAAAAGATAAATACACGTGAGTAATATTTTGCTTTTATTGTTTTGTAATTGCAGTTATATCAAAGACACTGAGTTTAAATAGGCAATAAGGTCTGTATATTTTGGGGAACAGTTATACTGTCTAAAATGATGAGCATGAGCTAAAAAAAGCAAATAATGGTGAATAAAGATAATAAAATTTTATTTTAGAGTACTGTAGGTAGAAGTACAGCACAAATAGCTGAATTTGCTTCTGATCAGTTTCAAACAATATGTGTCAAGGCTCTTGAGGTTTAACTTAGGTCTTTGGTACCCTCATCTTCTTAAAACTGTATGCAGTTCTGGTCACCTTTGTTTAGTAAGAAATACAGTGGAATTAGTGAAGGAGGAGAGAAGGGTGGCAAAAAGTGAGGGGGAGCTTTTTGTGATAAAGACTTTTCATGTTGGAAGAGAGATAAATGAGGTGTATAGAGGTAATCCTGCATGGTTGCAGGAGAGATTACTGGACAACTCAAGCAGTCCCAGAGCCATTGATACATAGAGGCAGAGAGACTATCCCACAGAAATGGTACTGTATGTTTGCGCTATGTTTGTTAGTTTTTCCTAGGCAGCTGTCATAAGCCACAGCCAAGGCAGAATGTGAGGTTAGATGGTCCTTTCACCTCATGTTTTACAATCGTGATCATACATTCTACATCGTGATCAGACTGAAGCCCCAGTTTTTCTCTCAAAGCTATAATTTTTTTTCTTCTATAATCATGTACTACTTTCCTGTATAAAATGAAAAGTAAATAGTCACCTAAGTAAGCAATTCTGCTTGGATAAAATAAAATATGATATCTCAATATTAGTATTATTATTTCTATAGCGTACAGATACTTAATTTAGCTGGGGAGCTAATTTCTTTCTAGATATTATGGATTTTTTTTTTTTTGCTGCTGTTGACAATTATTTAGGTTTCAGAAACTTAGCACTATCAAAAGAAAAAAGGATCAGCTCTACAAATTGTACCTAGGCCATACATAGGGAAGAAATCTTCCTTTGGATGTTAGCCAGGCAGGAATTTTTTTTGTCTCACAAACCTCAGTCTTGTACCTGCATAATCTACCTTTAGGAATGAAAATAGAATTAATTTTTCAAAAGTGATAATATGCACAGCCTTTCTGCTGATAACTCTCTGTAAACATGCAATTTTGAGGCCAGGAAAGGTGATAGCTTTTGTGATATAAGCACTTGAAAATGGAATGAGACTCAGAAACACATTTAGACTTTCAGACATTAGAAGATAATAGATTACAGGCAGGCCCAAAGAGGTGGACATAAACTAGCATGTTGGTCATGCTTGATAAAGCTTTCTGTGTGATGAGTATAGTCTGCTTAAATTAAAATGGAGTGTTACTTATACCTTTCAACACCACTGCATGGACTACACACACTACAGGCTTATTTTTTTGATGATGTCAGAGTGTGTATTGCATTTTCTCAGAAAGCAGTGGGTAGGTATGCACAAACGTGTGTGCATCCTCAGTGGTGTGTGCATGCCTATGTGTTTCCTCAGCAGGTGGAGACAGTATGATCTAATCCTAGGTTGACTAGCAACAAAAATTCACATTTGAAAATGGTGTATATGATGTAATCAAATTGTAGAAAACTGTGCCATAAATAATAATTATTTTGAGGACATTTAGAAGAGAAATGTGGCCTTTTACAGTTTACAGCAGAGCATTGTGTTGGGGAAATCTTTATGTTAAAAAATAAATCTCTTTGGAGAGATTTAACTTACTTCAGTTTTGGACAAGAGGTTTATCTGTTGAAAAGTAACTGATGAATGAACCTCCAGATGCTTGCCTGACCTCTTAAAACACCTACAAAAAATGAAAGACTTCTCTTCTCTGGTTTCTCTCTGCAACTCCCCCACCCCCCAGCTGCCCCTTTCTTCCTTTTGTCTTCCCTTTTCTCTGTGACAGAGTCTCTCGGTCATTTAACCACTCTGTCCCAAATATTTCTCTCTGGTAAACAAAAAAACACTTGGGTCTCACAACATTTCTTCAAAATAGAAATGTAAGAGCACAGTTAAGGAGGAAGGCTGCTGGTAAGATTTGTACGTCTTGGTCCAGTGACATCTAGAATGTTTCTGCCATGTTTTGTTTCCCTTTGTATTAGAAGAAGGTGACTGAGTCCTGCCCAGCCTCTAGTTTATAGAATGGTGACCATATGGATGAGAGAAGGGCCACCTTCCCTGTTGGGTCAGCCAAACAGATGGCTGCTTTGTGATACCTTTCCTTACCCTCGTTCCTAGCAGAGCAATGGAGATCCTCAGCCCTGTGTGTGCAGGGACATTGCTGCACAGGGATCTTCATCCAAACAGGGGTGTGTGCAGCCATGCATGTGTGTCCTTAACTTATTATTTTCCAGTAGTAAGCAAGTGGAGTGGGGAAAAACACTGACAGCATCAGAGTTTTGTTTGCTGGAGAGTCAGAAAAAGGTACAATTTTTAGGTAATCGCCAAACAAAAGACCAGAGGGTTAGAAAACAGAGCAGACTTAGGAACTAATGAACAGTTGCGAACTTCTTATTTCACAGCCTGTCTCTGGACAATAGTGCTGAAAGCAGATTTTATTCTTATTTTTAATCCTGCCTGGCTTGTACATTCTAGGCTTGTCATTTCTTATTTACTTTCCTTCGCTTCAACTATATCTTTCTACAGTGCAGTGATAGCTATCCTGGATGTTTGGGATCACACACACTATTCACAAAGGGAAACTTCAAGCTTGTGCTCACCTCTTGAAGACACAGAAAATGGTATTCCCTTCAAATAGATTAGGACAGTGGCAGTCTCTTTGATAAGATTTAAGATTAAATCAGGTTGTTAAGTATACCAGATAACTTAAAGACTCAGCTGCATTTGTTCCTAATATGGCATCACTCTCAGTCATTCAGCAGTATCTAATTTCCTGAATGAGTGTGCTATTAAATAATACAAATAAAAAGCTTGCTTTATGACCCCTATGGACACTAGAGAACAGACTTCATTGAATACTCTACTTCCACTCTAACTTTTTAGCTTTTACCACTTCCATAGCTCTTATTTTGTCCACAGGAAATATTCAGGAATTAAAAAATGCTTTCCAGACAAGCAGAGGCTACATTTGCATTTGTGGGTCAGTCTGAGTCTGCAGGTTCAAGACACTCAGCTGTGTATTTAGCTAGAGATCAGTTTGATGCTTCAATGCTCAGGGCAGGTCTGCCTTATTTTCACTAGTGAAGACTGTTTTAACACAGCCCAGCGACCATCTCTCACAGTAAGCCGCAAATTGTCTCAAACTCATGAAGTTTCAAAGTGCCTCATTTTGTAGTACAAAGTGTTGAAAATAAGTTGAACTTTCTAAAACTGTTTCAAGATCAGAAGGAAATACAAAAGGTGATCTGATTAGAAATGTTTCTGGTTTCCTGTTCACACAGACATTGAGTCCTGGACTTTTTGCAGTGATTTAGAGGCAGGGAGATCACCTTAATGCATGCTCTTGGAAGGAAGGAAGAATATCTTTGTGACCATCTCTCACATGGTTTCTTCGTGGAACATTGCACACATAATTTGAAGGCTCCTGTAAAAATATTTGCTTTGAAATGTGGAGTTAAAACAATTTCAATTCATCCTATTCCAAAATATTGTATTAATGAGCAGAAAATGTTCATGACAAATGCACAGAGATTTTAAACCCAATAAAATCTCCCAGCTCAAAAGGCGTGATTCATTAGAGATTCAGTAAGCGGACTGCAGATGTGTCTCCAGCTATGATGCTATGCTTATACTGTTTATTGGCATGCAAGGTTCTGTAGTATGTCAGGCTGACATAATTCGTTGCTGCCAGTTTGCTGATTTCTGATACACTGCTTCTGGAAGTGCTTGTAATACTAAACTCTGAATCACTACTTTGAATGCAAGAGGGCTCACAGCTATTTGTGGAATTATAGGTTTCATATGGGCTGGAACAGACCTCTGAAGGTCCTCAGTCCGAGTCCTCAGTGGAGTCAAGGTGGGCTGTTGTCAATAAGCTAGCCCCTAGTTTTGTTCAGCCGTGTCCAAAAACCTCAAATAATGGATGTTCAACCATCTGTATGGGCTCCAGCAAAATGTTTGGAAACTTTCCACATCCCACCATCAATGTCTGATCTGAAGCCCCCAAACTGCTGTTTGTGGCCATTTTCCTTTCATAGGGCCTGACCCTAGCAAGAAGAGTATGGCTCTAACACTTTTTTAACACACTTGCAGAGACTTGTAGACAGGTACTAGATTACTCCTTAGACTTCTTTTCAAAAGATTAAACAAGCCCTGCGGTCTCAAACTCGCCTCTTCAGACATATGCCCTAGGCCACTCTATAGCTTAGCAGCTTTCCTCTGGATGCTCACCAGTTTCTCCTCATCCTTCTTGGACAGCCCAAACCTGAATCCAGTACTTCAGAGGCAGCACTACTAGTGATGAACAGAGTGGGATGAAAACTCACACTTGACACACTTCTCTAACACAGCACAAGTGCACAGTTTGCCTTATGTGCACTGAGAGCATGCTGTTCGATCACATTCAGATTGGCATCCACTAGAACCCCAGGTCCATGACATAAGGAACTAGCTATCCGATTAGAAAAAAAGCTGCAAGTTTTACTCTGAACAGTCAAGTAATATACATTGCTGGAATCTGTTTCCAAGAATGAACACAGAAAAAATCCAATTAATGCAGGCTGTTTAAAGTTTGGACTTGATTTGCCCTACAATCACACAAGTCATTATTGTCTTTGAGCCCTGAAATAAATTTCATTTTTTTAAAAAGAGTGGTTTAACTCACTACCTTAATAAGAAGAACTAGAAGTCATTAGGCATTCATCCTTCAAGAGACAGTCTGCCATGATATTGTAGACCTAGCATTTAATTATTCTTTTTCTAACGTTCTTGTGTGTCCCTCAGGCTCCTCTCATCTACGGTATTCCTTGATTAAAGCCATTCTAAAGTCATATGTTTCAACACTCAATTTTATTTGG